AGTTTCACTGGGAGCTGAAAGGATACGTGAAAATACGGCGGGAGGAGAATCCTGCGAATATTTTGATTGCGGCGTCAGGGAAGACGGAGACCGTAGCTGGTTTTGCGGCTCCCTGTGTTCCAATGCAATCGGAAGAACATACGTGCCTCGTTGCCAATACAAGGATCAAATCGCAGGACAAGAGGTCTGGGGATCCCCCCACTCAAGCCTGGAAGTGTAGTGTATGTGGTAAAGTCAAAGCCCTCTCTGGAAAGCACCTTGAGGGAAAAACAGAAGTTAGGAGTGACTGTTGGCCTTGCGCATTGAAACGTACGTTCTACTTGACAAATAACCAAAGCACCGATGATAAGAAGCCGCCCGCCGAGTCCGCCTTCAAGAGCGCGTTTGGTGCACTGGCCTCGACGGATGATAAGAAGCCACCCGCCGAGTCAGCCTTCAAGAGCGCGTTTGGTGCACTGGCCTCGACGGATGATAAGAAGCCACCCGCCGAGTCAGCCTTAACGAGCTCGCGTAATGCACTTGGTTGTCATACTGGAGTGTGGAAGTGTACTCGTTGTGGTAAGGCAAAGGAGCTTACTGGAGCGCATTTAATAGGCAAAACGGAGGTGCGCTCAGACTGTTGGCCGTGCGCGAAGAAGTCGACTTTCAAGCTGGAAAGTTCAGTTTCACTGGGAGCTGAAAGGATACGTGAAAATACGGCGGAGGAGAATCCTGCGAATATTTTGATTGCGGCGTCAGGGAAGACGGAGACCGTAGCTGGTTTTGCGGCTCCCTGTGTTCCAATGCAATCGGAAGAACATACGTGCCTCGTTGCCAATACAAGGATCAAATCGCAGGACAAGAGGTCTGGGGATCCCCCCACTCAAGCCTGGAAGTGTAGTGTATGTGGTAAAGTCAAAGCCCTCTCTGGAAAGCACCTTGAGGGAAAAACAGAAGTTAGGAGTGACTGTTGGCCTTGCGCATTGAAACGTACGTTCTACTTGACAAATAACCAAAGCACCGATGATAAGAAGCCGCCCGCCGAGTCCGCCTTCAAGAGCGCGTTTGGTGCACGGCCTCGACGGATGATAAGAAGCCGCCCGCCGAGTCAGCCTTCAAGAGCGCGTTTGGTGCACCGGCCTCAAAAGATGATAAGAAGCCACCCGCCGAGTCAGCCTTCAAGAGCGCGTTTGGTGCACCGGCCTCGACGGATGATAAGAAGCCACCCG